GAACGACTGCTTGCTAATTTTCAAGTAGTATAATGTACGTGAATGTGGCTCAGGCAACACTTGACCTAATGTACTCTTGCCAACGAACTCCARTGCCCTGTAAGTGGAGATAAACGGTATGTTTAGAGGTGGCAGCCTATTCTAGAGTCTTGAAAGTATCGGTGCAGTGTGAGAAAGCACAATGGTGCATGGTTCTAAATGACATATGAAGGACTTGGCATCGTTGCAAGAGAACAGAATGACTTCTTAGTTCTTAGGGGTACTGGCATCTTTTCTGTCACGGCTGTAATTTTGTCTAAATTCCTTGGTAGAGTTTTAATCAAATGATGTCTGTGCCTGTTTTGGACACTGAAGGCGATCAGGAGAATTGCACTGCATCTGTCTCATTTTCATAAGACCTTCAGATACCCTTTCTGGGGATTTTGTTTGATTGATTGATTTTTGTTTGTTTGTTTTGATTGATTGATTGATGGTCCAAAAGCACTGAAGTCTTCCTAACATTTTCTTCTCTGTAGAAATGTTGTCATGCTGGGATCTTCAGGTTTACAGTGTTAGTGTGTCCAATAGTGTTTGAATGCAGTTTCTCCTCAGGTACGTCTTCAAGCCGTTGTAGGATGTGAATCAATTGATGGCTGTATCTCTGTCTGGAGGCGGCGCACACTGCGAAGSTGCAGGAGAATTGCAATGCATCTCCCTCACTTTCCATCAGATATCATTTCTGGGGCCATTTGTGTGTTTTTGTGTGGTTATTTGTAATTGATGGTCCAAACTTACGGAGCTCTTATGAACAGTTGTCTCTCTGTACGGATACTGTCATGGTGTCATGCATGCATGACAGTGCTGGGGTGATCAATGATGTTTGAATGTCATTGGTACTCCAATACCTGATRGTACTGGCAGTCTCTTCTTTTGAGATGATATGGGGATCAAAAGAATTCAATGAGTGCTCTAGTGATCTTATAAAGAAGGTAATTACATTCTCTCTAACGATCAATATAGATATTGTGACCAGGAAAGCTTTGGTCGTTTTTGCAGTGTGAGACATGATAGTCCTCTCATGATAGTCCTCTCATCAATTGTAGGTTACAATAAAGGTGGTATTATCATAATAGTACGTACAACAGAAAATTAAGCTCTTTTCTGAATAATATCTTACATTATCTTTTCCATTCTTCAGTCCACCCAGCTGCTTGTATGTTCTGTGTTTTCTTGATGTAAAATTTAGTTATGTGATTGCACTTTAAACTGCTCCTTTCTCAAGCTGTTGCCTTTCTTAGAAGCCTTTCTAAGCTTGGTACTTCCTTTGGCTTTGTTTCTCCAAGTTCCTTACTGTACTTGTTTTTTGGTGGTTTTTGGTGGATTGGCATTACCTAAATCGGCTGCTACCAGACAGGGTGATTCATGGAATGAAGCATTGACAGCTGGATACCTTGGGAATAGGAAATACATGGATAGATTTTTTTTTTTGCTCTTCTAAGTTATATTTTTTTTCTTAGTCTGTTTACTAAGAGACATAATTTTGTAAGGCTTCAAAAGGGATGTGTTCTCTCCTTTATAGCCAGACCTTGTTCATACTTCCATAGCGTGTACTACTAGAGCATATACTGATCCTGCTTTTTTAGACAAAAGTAACTYAGCATGTTCTCCTAAAATACTGAATTTCTATCACCGTAAAGGGTATATACAATAGCACATACTGGATTTGATGCTCCTTTGGTACAGTAGATCTTCCACTGAAGAATTTTGTGACCGCCTCTTGCCAGACCTCCAAAAAATAAAAGAGAAGGGGAATTCCACACTCAATACTTGGTGGATATTCTCAGGAGATATCATAGAATCATAGATCCCTTAAGGTTGGAAAGGACCTTTAAAGGTTATCTGGGCCAATTCCCCTGCACATGCAGGGTCTTCTAGAGCATGTGGCACAGGGTGGCGTCCAAGTGGGTTTTGAAGWTCTCCAGAAAAGGAGATTTCACAACCTCTCTTGGCAGCCTGTTCCAGGGCTCTGTCACCCTCACTGTTGAAAATTCTTTCTTTAAGTTCATGCGGAACCTTTCCTGTTTCAGTATGTGGCTGTTTCCTCTAGTCCTATCAGTGGCCACTATTGAAAAGAGGCCAACCCCATCCTCCTCACTCCCTCCCTTGAGGTTTTTGTATATACTGATYARATCCCCCCTCAGCCTTTTCTTCAGGCTGAACAAGCCCAGCTCTCTCAGCCTTTCCTCACAGGGCAGATGTTCCTGGGCCCTGATCATCCTTGTAGCCCTGCACTAGATTCTCTCTAGCAGCTCCACATCCCTATTGCACTGAGGAGCCCAGACCTGAGCACAGTCTCCAGATGCAGCCTCACCAGGGCTGAGTAGAGGGGGACGATCACCTCTCTTGACCTGTTTGAGATGCTTTCCTTAATGYACCCCAGGATCGCATTGGCCTTCTTGGCCATGAGTCAACTCATCATGGTCAACTTGTCATCCACCATGACGCCCAGCTCCCTCTCTACATAGCTGCTTTCCAGAAGGTCAGTCCCCAACCTGAACTGGTGTCTGGGGTTATTCCTCTCCAAGTCCAAGACCCTGCACTTGCCCTTGTTGAACTTCATGAAATTTCTCACTGCCCAGTTGTCCAGTCTCTACAGGTCCCTCTGGATGTCAGTGCAGCCCTCTGGGGTATCAGCTATTTCTCCCAGTCTGGTATCATCAGCAAACTTGCTGAGGGAGCTCTCCATCCCTTCATCCAGGTTGTTAATGAATAAGTTGAACAGGACCAGACCAAGGACTAACCCCTGGGGGACACCACTAACTACAGGCCTCCAACCGCACTCAGCACCACTGATCACCACCCTCTGAGCTCTGCCCTCGAGCCAATTCCTAATCCACCTCACTGTCCACTCATCTATCCCACACCTCTGGATCTTGCTCAGGAGGATGTTGTGAGGGATGGTGTCAAAAGCCTTGTTAAATTTCAGGTAGATGACTTCCAATGCTGTCCCCTCATTGATACAGCTAGTCATTCCATYGTAGAAGGCTTTCAGGTTAGTCAAGCATGATTTCTCCTTCATGAATCCATGCTATTCCTGAGCAAATTCTTGTCCTCCATGCACTTGGAGACAACAGCCTGGATGAGCTGTACCATCACTTTCCCAGGGATGGGTGTGAGACTGACTGGCCTSTAGTTTCCTGGGTCTTCCTTCTYGACCTTTTTGAAGACTGACATGACATTGRCTTTCTTCCAGTCCTCAGCCAACTCCYTCTTTCTCCAGGACATTTGGAAGATGACGGAGAGTGGCTTAGCTATAATATCCACCAGCTCATGCAGCACTCTGGAGTGCACCCCATCAGGGCCCATGGATTTCTGGGTATCGAGTTTTCCTAATTGCTCTTTGATTCAATCCTCCTCTATGCAGGAGAGTCTTCATCTCTCCAAGTCTTCATCTCTCTAGGCTTCTTCTCTTGTCCCTAGGGTCTGTGATTTCAGAGGGCTGCCCGTGGTAAACACCGAAGCAAAGAAGTCGTTCAGCTATTCTGCTTTTTCTGTGCTTTTCATAACTAGGGCATCCACCCGGTTCAGCAGTGGACCCACGTTCTCCCTAATCTTCCTTTYYCCAGTGATATATTTGAAGAAGCTCTTCTTATTTTTTTAACGTCCTTTGTCAGATTTTGTTCCAAGCGCGCATTAGCTTTCCTTGTTGCATCCCTGCATTCCCTGACAACATTCGTGTATTTTTCCCAAGGGGTCTGTCCTTTTTTCCACAATCTGTATACCGCTTTCTTCTGCTTGAGTTTTCCCAGGAGTTTCCTGTTCATCCACGCAGGCCTTCTGCCCACCCTACCTGACTTCTTACACATAAGAATGCACCATTGCTGTGCGTGGAGGAAGTGTTGCTTGAAAACTACCCAGCTGTCTTGGGTCCCCCTTCCTTCTAGAGCCCTAGTCCATGGGATTCTTCCAAGGAGGTCCCTGAAGAGGCCAAAGTCAGCCCTCCTGAAGTCCAGGGTTACAAGGCCCCTTACAGTCCTGCTTCCTACTTTTCGGATTCTGAACTCCACCAGCTCATGATGGCTACCCCATACCTTCACATCTCCAAAACGTCCCTCTTTATTTGTTAGTACAGGTCTCTCCTCATTGTCTCTTTCGCAATCTGTGTCAAAAAGTTATYATCAACTTACTGCAGAAACCTCCAAGACTGTTCGTGCCTCGCTGTGCTGTCTTTCCAGATGATATCAGGGTAGTTAAAGTCTCCCATGAGAATCAGGGCCTGTGATAGCRAGGCAACTATATCAGATGTAGTCAATATACGTGGTACCGTGCATTTGCCTGACCTTGCCTGTACTTGTCTGTGCGCCAATGTGCTCCTTCACCTCTCCCTTAGACATTTCCCATCAAAACTTCTTTCGTCTTTCTTCGTCAAGTGGGTTGACTTCCCATTCCCAGTGGAGTAGAAAACTCGAGAAAGACAGAGGCGAGAATCATATTAACATAGCAGCACCTCTCTGTCGCGCTCAGGGTAGCCGAGGGCGCCGTTTCACATCCCGCTGATGACACTGCGGCTGCAGTGGCGGCACGGAGACTCCGGGTGCCGCTGCTGCCCGATGTAGCGGTGCCGCAGCCGGAACCGGAGCCGGAGCAGGCTCTCCCGAGGCAGCTATTCGCTCGCACAGCGCTGGGCGGACGGCATCGGCACGGGCAGCAACAGCCTCTGAGAGGACGAGAAGGACGGAACGGCTGGAGGCAGAGGGGAGGAAAGGGTCTGGGCGTCCCCCGACTCACCRTCCTCACCATTCTCACCCTGCCCTGGGGTATTTTGCGACTACTAAGGGCGCGAGTGTTGCAACRCAAAGAAGATTAGGAAGCAGATTCGCGGAGATCAGCAGCGTTCGTAGCGTCACTGCGATCGCCGACCCGCACTGGGGTCCTACTGGTGCCGCGCTGGACAGAAGCGGGAGGACGGAGCGCAGTGCGGACTGTAAGAAACGGAGAGGCAGCACAGGCAGAGGCGCTCGATGGGATTCCTTGTAGTGCTGTGYGCTTGGCTGCTCTYCTGGGGCTGCCGGGCGGCGCCGGAGCGGCTGCGCTATGCGATTCCCGAGGAAATGRGCAGYGGMTMCGTGGTGGGGCCGCTRGCGCGGGACCTGGGACTGARCCCGGCAGAYCTGCCCGCACGGCAGCTGCGGATCAGCTCGGAGAAGCACTACTTCGCGGTGAGCGCGGACACGGGGCACCTGTACGTGARCGAGCGYCTGGACCGSGAGGAGATGTGCGGSGACTCGGCGTCCTGCTCGGTCAGTCTCGAGGCGGTSGTRCAGAACCCRCTCAAYGTTTTCCACGTCGACGTGGACATCCAGGAYATCAAYGACAACGCGCCGCGCTTCYTGCAAGAKAACATCCACTTCGAGATCAACGARTTWACTTCTCCYGGAGCCCGRTTTCACYTGGGAAATGCYATTGATCCGGACGTSGGWCAGAATTCTCTTCAGGGMTACGAGCTGGAAGACAACGCSTACTTCGTAGTGGAAGTGAARGAGAACCWGGACGGCAAGAAGTTCGCCGAGCTCGTGCTGCGCCGTGCGCTGGACCGCGAGAGCGAGCAGAGGCTTCAGCTTGTCCTGACGGCGGTGGATGGCGGCGAGCCGCGYCGCAGCGGCACCGCCCAAGTCTGGATTAACGTCACCGACGCCAACGACAACGCGCCCGTTTTCGCGCAGGACCGCTACCAGGCGAGTCTGTTCGAGGATGCACCGC